CCCCTTTGTCGGACAAAGGTAATGATCGGGAATGCACTCTCTCTGATGGAAACCAAACTGCTGGCAGTTGATTTCAATCGTTGGAATTTTGTTTTGCAAAATTTATATATATGATAAATAGGTATTTTTGTTTTCAGGTTGTTTGCAAATGGTTTCAAATCCCGGGATCCATGTGAGAAGAGAGTGCAGCACTGTTCCTTGCAACCGAGGGAGAGGTCCTCTTTTGTCGGGTAGTGCTTGATCATTATGGGTTGAGAGGTTAAGTGTAAGACCATTTAGGATAATACCTGATAGGCTAATCTTGCACCTGCACACAGTCCCTGAGTTTTTATAAGATGGCTTGACCTAGAGACCACTTAGTGTAAGTGTTGGGCCCATAGGGTCCATGTGATGGGCTCAGGGGTTCACTGGGCTTCTTAGTGAATTCGGCTAGGCCTTGTATAAAGGTTGGGCCGACCCCATGTGGCTGGTGTGTAGATCAATGCTTGAGTCCCACGCCATACAAAAAAGCCCAACTAGGCAGTAGATTGGAAACCAATTGAGCACTGATTACTTAATGGGCCAAAAGCCCATTTCGAATTGAGCTGATATGATCACCCACTTATGGGGCGGACCTGAGATTAAGGTTAGCAAAAGGATTGGGTCTTTAACCTAATCCACTCTAGGAGACCAAATTCGAATCAGATTTGAATATGGTAATCTCCTGATAAGATCAGGAGTAAGCTAACCTAATCTGCATATAGGATTAAGATCATCCCCTATCCAGATGCTGATTTGGATTGGGATAACTCCTAATAGGATTAGGAGATTTCTTAATCAAGAAGAAAAAGGAAAAATCAAAAGAGAATTAACAGAATTCGAACCTAGGGTTTTGAGCAAGAAAATCTTCCTGCGAATTGAGATAGGATCTCATACACTCCAAATAGAAGAGAAGCAACATTCGCCATCTTCATCTCAGGAGCTCTCCTCCAGCTGCCGCCATTCTCTGAAAAGATTCGATCTTTGAGAAAAGAAATCAAGAAATCAGTTCTTGATATCAGTTTTGCAGAAACAGATCCGAGAGCAACACTCCCAAGATGATCAGTGCATTGTCCCAGAATATCAAGCAGGTATATTCCGTTCGCCTCATGGCCACTCCCAATCACCTTCTGAGACTCCAGATCCTGAAAAACACAGTAGGAAGGAAAAAAATGTTACACAACAGTTTAGTTACTTGGTTAAACTACTTACAGACAACAAATTTGTAATTAATTTAGGTACAAGAAGGGCAGAAGGTAGGAACAAGGAATCCGTAGCCTTGATGGTTCCCTTACCAGARATAGGGGCAAGTGAACCATCAGCTAAAGTGATTTTATCACGTCTAGGAAGCAAGTCATATGAAACAAACAAGGTAGAAAGATTGGTCATATGGTCAGAAGCACCTGAGTCAATAATCCAAGGGATCTTGAGATTACCTGAAGTGGTAGCATGATTGGCAAAAGCCCTTATACCTGAATGAGCAAATGCAGAAGAAGCAGACATCTTCCCAAACTTTTCATATTCTGCTCTCATGGTTGCCAACTGTGTAGAAGCAGACGTCTCTTCAGTATAGTACTTGTCACTATCTGGCCCGACAACTACATTTGCACTTCCTGATCTTTTACTATCATGTTTTTTCTGAAACCRAATGGGAACAAGATTAGGATGTAATTTCCAGCACTTGTCTTTGGTGTGCTTCGGCTTCTTGCAGTACTCACATATAACTTCTTTCTTTCCTGGCCACCAGAAGTTCCAGCATTCCATTAAGGTTTAATCCCCATATTCGCAAAGTGATCACTAATATCAGCCCCTTGAACATGGACAGCCCTTCT